AAAATTAAATTTGAATATTAAAGAATTATTTGAAAGTATTTTACAAATATTTAAAAATACTTCAAACCCAACAACAAAACTGTGAATATAAAGAAGTTTGTATTCACATTTGAAGGCGCTTGGGAAACCTTTCTTCAACAACGGATRAGTGATATAACATATATTATTTTATTTAAAAAATTTAATAATTTGACAATACTTAAGATTTACTAGCTAAACTTAAATACAAACATAACTCTAACTAATGTTGACAAGAGCTAATTACAAGGTTTGATGTTTGGTAATGCTTCAGAGTTTGGCCTGTGGTCCAGTGCCCGAAATTTTGTAGACGAACGCGTGGGCTGCATCGTAATGCGGATTGCAGCTGTGTCGGACCCGCTTCAGCCAGGCGCGTATCTTGGGGAACTTGATGCGCACATCGTAGTCGGCCATGCCTATTGAGGGGTGGGGCAAAGGTGGCATGAGAGTGTCTAATCTTGTCAAGCAATGCAAATCGACTTACGCGTTTGCTCGATTTCACAGGCGGCAAAGATGTCGGCAACCGTGAGCGTAGATCCGGTTAGGAACTCGCTCTTGGCCAGCCAGACCTGCTCGATGATGTCCAGATTGCGCTCCATGTGCATGCGCAGCTTCTCGATTTTGTCCTCCTTGGGCGAGCGACCCGTCAGCAGCGGATCCAGCCAGATGGTGCGAAAGTACATGGCACAGGTGACGCGCAGCGTCGTATGCTGCCACTCAAGGAACTCATCGACGCGAGCCTGCTTCGCGAAATACTTGGGGTAGAGTATCTCCGGGATCTCGCCCTTGGCACTGAGGTAACGCAGTATGGCCACGCTTTCCGCTAGCTTATAGCCATTATCGTTAATGCAGGGCACACGCTGAAAACGATTTATATTCAGCTTGAACTCATCTGTCAGATGTTCGCCTGAAATGAAGATATACGCATATATATTCACAGAGAGATATAGTTATATATATGTATATAGACCTACCATTACGCAGCGCTACAACACAGTCCTCGAACTGCATTCCACTCAAACGGAATATGATGAACAGTGCCCGCGACGGCTGCGACATCAGATCGTAATAGAACTTGAGCGAAGACATCGTTTGACTCTTCAGCTTCGTGCTCTGCCGCTGTACAACTGCAAGTGTGCATATAAAGTGACAATGGATGTGAGTTGCATAAAGCAGCCAACTGAACTGAATCTAACTAAACTTAATCATTTCTCTTGAGCACTCCCCACCTTTGGCCTCAACCGGTTCAAAGATCACTTTTCACGCTACGCACCTTCGATCAGTCGGATCCAACAACAACAATACAACAGATTAGCCCCGAGTGAGCGGCCACTGAGACTCAACCAGCTGGCGACAATCGCATCGCGTTACTGAACCACTGCCGAGAGCGCGCGAGCGAAAGCTTTCTTGTGCCCAAAGCTCTGAGAGCGCTCAGCGCGAAGCTTTCAAGTAACGCCGTTACGATGCAAAGTGCGGCTAGATAAATATTCGTTTGCTTGTCATTTTTTTAGTGATAGTGAAACTTATTCTTTTATTTTGTATACTCTGTTGCAAGATTAATTTACGTGCATATTAGCTGCAGAATATGAGCGCAACGAATTTGGAATTTTATCTAGCATTTCACTTTACCAGTTAAGAAATTTAAAAGTTGTTGTAAAGGTAAATACACAAAAAAAATAAATAAATAAATAAAACCCA